TTTTTCACATACAAGGTTAAAAACCTTAATTTTCTTGGCCACAGTTCCAATCTTTCTTCTCCATGGTTCGAAAGTTTCAATCTTCTTCCTATTGATCCTCTCTTCTCAGTTTGCAAGTTGTTAGGAACTTAATCCTCATTTTATAATAACCCCAAGCTAAATTAGTTTGCTTGTACGGTATAATCAATTCTCTATTTAGTCAAGTTTCATAACAAATGAATATATTCAAACAATAATACTCTAAAAAGGGGATAACTTATTTTTGAAATCCTACGATGGAAGTCAACAAATAATTAAGATAACATTTAATATTATTTTATTATATTTTTATAATTAATTTCCTTTAATTTCATGGAAATATTTTTTAAAAATTATAATTTAAAACATTTTAATTTTTATTCAAATTATTAAAAATTTATAAATTTTAAGTAAATTTATTATAATTAAATTAATGGGTGTTATTATTATTTTAGGACAAAAGTGAAATAGAGAATAACTTAAAAAGGCTAATAAATTATCAAAGTTGGATAAAGAGGTTAAGCATTCCAATGTTCAAACTGAGTTTATAATTGATATTCGAGAGATTTATTAATTGAAATTATACGAAAAGTCGTTGAAGAAGCTACTTACGCATAGAGAAATGTTTAAAAAGACACATACTTGTAAGGGAGACAAAATTATGTGGATTGATACATGATCTCATATTACATATGTAAGTATAATTACTAACACTACAATTTTTTATTAAAGATTTAGAAAATATTATTTGAAGCTAATATATAATTATCTGCACTAAACTATAGGATGACTATGGTCAAAGGCTTAAGAAAGCCTTTTCTCAAGACTTAGAAGTCCATTGATGAGGATGCTATATGGTCAGAGACAGTAGATGACATTTATGGCATGGAGCCGCTTTGTGGATTCTATGTCTCTTATATTTATTACCAGATATGCTCTTTCTCTTGTGCTTAAGAAGGTGGAGGACATGATCTGCACTTAAGTATATGCCCTAAAATGAAGAGCTCTAAGAGCAGAATGTAAAGATGTGAAAGACCAATGAAAGTGGATGGAAGAAGAAATATGTTAAGAAAATTGAGAAAAAGATAAAAAAAATGTGGCATTGTGGATGCAGAGGGATGTGTAGCAGCAGATGTAGCAATAACATATGCAGATGTAATAAATACATATATACTTCGAACTCATGAGAGGCAGCTCCACATTTCTTCTTCCTCCTCCACCAGCTTCAGCACTACCAGTCTTTCGACCAATATGACATTTGTCATTTTTTTCCTCCTCCTCTACTGATGATGATACTCTTACTGACAATGATCATGTCGAGTACTCATAATTGTGATTGTTATTTTATTTTTGACATTACTATTTTAGATGCTTAAATCTTTAATTGTAATGGTATTTTAATTAACATTTTAAAAATAATTTTGAAATTTTAAATTATTATTTTATCTAGAAATGCTTACAAATTGTGATAATTAAAAATAATGAGAAATAATTATAGAAGTAAACAAAAGAAAAAAACTAAATTCATTTATTGACAAAGAAATTACAAACAACTCTAATTTGTCTGTAGTGATAAAATTTGTCGATAAACTTTAATAAATCTATTTGTAAATTCGTTTGTAATTTACGTGATTTTGGTAATGTGCAATGTCAGCAATTTTTTCCCTAAACTATTAATCTTAATGGTCATACAAAGTAAAAGAAAAAGAAAGCATAAAGCGCCTATAATCTTTTTAATTTAATAACGATTAGAAGAAAAGAACTAAGTTTGGTCTACTTAATCTTTTGTTTCGTTTTATTATATAAGTATATTAACTACATGTGGTCCGATCGCCTACTATGTAATTTATTATTAGATGCTAAGAGTGACTAATTTCTTACATACATTTATATGCACTATAATAAAATCTAATTACTGATGAAAATTGAAATTATTATTAAATGTGAGATCACATAAAGTCATGTAAAGGATTTATCATAGCTCTAACTATAGATTTATTTACTGATCATAAAGTAAGTAATCAAAACAATTGTAAACAAATCCATATATATGAAAGAAGAATGCAAACTAGAAAAATCTCCCAAGAGAATGGGATGGGAAGAGTTCTCGTTCTTCAAATTCACTCTTGATCACTTGCGTGAAATCCAAAGAACTTTCTTTGCCTTCACCGATGACTCTTGCTCTCAATGACTCCAAGTACTATTAGAAGTGTGTCAAAATTAGGATGTCTAAGTCATAGCCCTCAAGGTTAATTAAATAGGGTTTTGAATCTGACAGAGATAATGGTTATTGCCTCTAAGAGATATGATGATATGACGGTATCTCGAGAAAAAAGATATGATTTGTCAAAATTCATATTCAAATTCTCCCTTCACATGTCTCTAAAAAAATTTGCACTTTAGATATATAAAAAAAGGAGCATACCTGTGCTTACCATAATGCACAGTCGTTATATTTGAAGCATGAGCGTACTTATTCTATTTTCCTATCAATTCATGTCCAAGATGCTTTAATAATCTATCAGAGCTCTTAGCATGCTAAACTGTGATAATCATTAGCATAATTAGTACAAAATTCATTTAAATAAGGAATAAGTATATAAAAATAGGTTGCAAAAGCATGCTAAAATATATACTTATCACTTAGTGAAATTGAATTCTTAACTATTTAGGCTAATTTCATGACTTTTTTTTTTAGTTTCTATTTTTAGTCTCTAATGACTATACTTATTTCATGTGTACCTTATCTTCATTAAGGAAGGATTATGTTAGTTCATTCTTAAAAATTTAGCCATTTCAATTTAGAAATTTTACTTTCTTAACCTTAACCCACAAATTCAAAATTGATGGCTATGTTATTGGTGTCCTAAGTTTTAAATAATAAGTCATTAATCTAGACTAAAAAAATCTAACTACAATTCTATTTAAAATTTATCAAGGTAAAATTAAGAATGAAAATTATCACTTAAATAAGGATTAATAAACATAGGGATGTTACAAGGGTGATTATTTTTACAATATTTTTTAGATCTTTTTTTAACAAATTATTGAAAATCATTAGTAAACTTGGTAACGGTAAACTATTAGGATTTTAAAAATTAGATATTAAGAATTCTCATATTTTAATTTTATCTAGAGATTTAAATTATGATTGATGAATTTTAGAATTGCATGACTTTTTGAATTATGATAAGTTAGAAAAAAAGATGAAAATTGTTTAAGAAATTAAGATATTAAAATAAGGATAACAAGGAAAGGAAACTAAATTCATAACATTATTCACCCTGTGAAAATTTGAAATTTTAGATTAATCGTTGTTATGAGAATGATATCTTCTGCTTACATGTATTAAAATTTTCATTTTTTTTAAATTACTATATCATGTGTAAGTAAAAGTTATAAATTGTTTTATAATTAATCAAGAGCTAAATAAGCATATGTGTGTATAATTCCTTGATCAGCCAACTTTGAGTATAATGTTAACCTTTTTTTTTCTTTCAAAAATCAGCATTATTAACCAAAAGTGAAAATTTATGTTTTACCCATTCTTAAGAAAAGTGAGAACTTGAAATTACAAAATTAAGGCTGATAATTAAAGAAAAAAAATTGGTGCTCAAAATAGAAAGAAATAAAAAAGAAAAGATAAATTTTGCAACAAAAATTAAAATAGTAGTACAAAAAGATAAGTTTGGGGAAAATTCTATGGTAGTTGCTAAAAATTTAAAAATATAATCAGAAAAATGATCTCTTTAAGTGTATAAATTTAAAAGAATATAGCACCAATCAAATGAAATCAAAAGAATTTAGTTTAATATAGGTTTGAGGAATCACTAACTTAAAAATCTAAAGTAGAATCCAATTTTTTTCTCATGTTTATAACCCTTATAGAGATATTGAGTGCAACATTTCCATTTCCTCTTTTAAGTAACTTATGGATTTAAGCTAAATTTTCTCTATTTGAAATGCTTTATACTTTGGAATTCCTTAATGCAATTGAGTTAACTTAATTATTAATGAGTTAGAAATTATTTATGATATAATATTTTGAATTAATTCACGACTTAATTTAAGAATTCCTTAAGTTTAATTCATTATTTTTTACGTTTTGATTTTTCTTAAGGAGAAAAATAAAAAAGAAAAAAAAATGGTGAGTTTAGAAAAGAGGTGATGTTAAAAGTAATCCCCCGGTGGAATAAGAAATCCAAAACTACTTTACTCTTTTACTTGTCAAAATGCAATTATTTGTGCCAAAATTTAAAGACTTCTTACAATCTTACATATAATTGGCTAAAATTTTTCCTAAAGATAAAATTCATAAATTAATCTAAACCTTATTGACAAGTTTAATACAAAAAATTATATTCATAATTAAATAATCATGACCATGTTCTTCGATATTCAGTTGTGGCTAACACATTATTGTCTACTCTTTTATTACTAATATAACTTAACTTTTATATTCTGATATGGTATTTATACATACTTCCTTATAGAAAACGTTAACACAACATAGAATAAAACAATAAAATTAAATTATAAATTTAATTAGTATTTTAAGAAAACTTATAGGTTCCTAAGGCACAAGGTTTGAAATAAATGCAATTAATGGCAAGACCTGGGAGGAAGAGTAGAGAATACACAATCCACTGATATGATAAAAGAATTCAATCAAGAATATATCATATAGATTATCTCGAAGTAGGATTTATATACTCATTAACTGGTCACATTATAAACATATTGAATGATTGGATACAAGGTACATGCGTTGATATCAGTCCCAGTATGTGAAGAAAAGTGAACATATTGTTAGAACATATGTCATAATGTAATGGTAATTAATTTTGCGAGAACTAGCATTATTACGTAACAATAATTAGCTTTAACTATTGATTAATTTTAATACATATCCAATAGCAAATACATAATTGTGTAATCATGCACAACTTAAAATAGTGACTCATGCAATATGCCATCCTAACTTTACTTAAAGATCAAGAAACCCCACCTAATTGGTTAAAAATGAAACTTAATACAAATACAGTATATTGCTCACATATATCACATGCATCTACTCCTTAAACAACTTTGAAGCAGCTCCTAAGTCTAGGTACCATTTCATTTCCCCTTCAGGCGAAACCAACTGAACCGGCAACTTATCAGTATTTTGATTATCTCCAAGTGCTGAGTAAACTGCGTTTGCTTTACCCTGACCAGTCACCACCATTGCAATATTTGAAGCTGAATTGATTATTGGTAAAGTAAAAGTGATTCTTTCAGATGGTGGCTTTGGTGAGTCCATGATAAAGGTAACCCATTTCTTATCTTCCATTAGAAGAGGGTGCCCTGGAAATAATGAAGCCACATGCCCATCTGGGCCCATACCTAAGAGCATGAGATCAAATTTTGGTAATTCAGTAGTTGATGTAGCTATCACATTGCTCTTAACTAAGCGTCTCAGATTTGTCTCATAAACATCAGCTGCTCCATCAGCTGGTAGGGCATCATCAATGGCATAAATATTTGTGGGAGGAATTGGCACCTTCCAAATTAACAATGGAACAAAATAAATTTTTAATTCTTGACCAAAAAGTGTTAAGTTAGAATCAAAATTTCACCCTCTTTATATCTATAGAATTACATTAATTACTATAAAAGGAGTGTGCCACAAATTATTAATACAAGGAGAAATTTGAAAATTAATTAAAAAAATTCATTAGATCAGAAATATAAAAATATAATAAATATTTTATTATATAAAGTATTTTTAATTGTTTAAAATTATTCTCAAAAACATATTAATCAAAACGTAGTTAATTTTATTTTGTTAAGATTAGTCTTAAAAATTAATTAAGGTAATTATAAATATTTTTAAAAAGTATTATTATATACAAATGTAAAAAAAAAATTTCCAGGAAAACAAATCTTCCATTTTTAATCAATTAAAATCAATACAAAGGATCATAATGCATGCTTGGTTAATTATAAAAACTAAGTTTAAACATTTTTTAAGGCTTAAATAACTTTTTAGTCTAAAAATTTATGATTTTCTTATTTGATCCTTCATTTTAATGTTTTAAAAATTTGTCTCCAAATTATTTTTTTCATATATTCATTTTATTAGTAATTTAATATTTCTTTTTCAAAAAAAATATTAACAATACACTTTCTAATACATACTTTTAAACGTATTTTTATTAATTAAAATTTATTAAAAATTATGAGTTTTCATTCATAATTTAATAATACTCTCTCATACTTTTTGTAATTTTTAATAAAATTTAATTAATAATAAAGTGTATTCAAAAAGTTATATTAGAGAATGTATTCGTAACCTTCTTCTTTCTTTAATATATACATATATAATATATAATATCTAACTGGACTTGTAATATATGATTTAGAAAAAATCTAAACGATGAAGTGATATATTTACTTTAATTTTTTATATTTATAAATTTAAATTTTAAAATTTTTAATTCCACATTCTTATTCAAGCTAAATAAGCAATGGCACATGAAAGAAACTCAAAACCTTTGAGAGAAATCCATCGTTGGCTAGCTTGTAATTACTGTCTAAGTGATCCTTTTGCACGACTCTCTCATCCACCCAGAAAACATGCCACTTTGACCAATCTATGGAATCAACGTAGGGAGGTTCAACCAATTTCCTGAAAACCCCGAACAAAAATAAGGTCTCGTGCTCGTGTCGGTATATATTAGTGGTACACCTAACATTATTAAATTATTCAAAAAATAAAACCAAGCATCAAATCAGTTCCATGCTAGCTCATTCGCGTGACGTCATGTTCAGTTTATGGTTAAATATTTTACTTAGGAAATTAAAATGATATGGAATATGAAAGATTGTGAAGTCGCTCGTTATCCATATCGCCATTCATTGCCTCACTGTCCCCGTACGCAAGGACTACGCATCCAAAATTTTACGTAAGGAAAAGGGAGAAAAATTAATAGAACTTCATAATTATATCTATAAACAACAAAATCATATAATCGACAAATATTTAACATTTTAAAGAAGTGAGGAAAGTTCTTCAATGGCTTGATTTGGTTTTCAGTGTAGGAAAACAGCAAGATTTTATAGTTTATTAAAAGGGTTAAATACATTTTAAATTCTAATAACATTCTTAAATTTTTGCTGTTGTAATATCTAATTAAATTTTATTGATTTATAGTTTTATATTTAATAAAAATTTATTTTTAAACTCATAAAAAATTAAAAGTACATAACTTTTTATCATATAAAAATATAAAAAACTAAAATTAAAATAAAAAAATTATTTAATAATTTTATAAGGAGTTTAACTCTTATTAAAAAATCCATCTCTTTTATAAAACCTATATGGATTTAATTTTCATCAAAACGACACGGGCCCCGTCCCAAGAATAAAGATAATATTCACCTGAGGTACTTGATGAGTGAGCCACCAGACAAAACGACAGTGAAAGCACCTCTCTCCCTAGTGAATTTGGTAGAGAGTTGAGCAACATCGTAAGCCAATGACACAGCAAGATGCTCCTTACTGAACACCTCAACTTTCTTGTAACCCTTCTCCCAATTAATTGATGCATTGATTTCACCAACACATCTCCTGGGAGGAAATACTTTATTCCTTAGAGGTTGGTGGATGAGTTTCTTCCCTACTTGGGGTGGGAATAACACTGAGGTTTTGTAAGACAGTGGATTTGATTTTTGGGTACACAATAAGCTGCTTTGGAGGGTGTAGGAAGTAGAGAAAGCTGCTGAGATTGCCATTGGTGTCTTGGATTTGGCTGTGGAACGAAACTTCGATCCATATTTAATGTATGGCACATTATTTATGCTTTTGCTTGAAATGAGATTCTTTTTCCAGTGTTACAAGTAATGCAAACAGTATGATCCTTTTGTTATTTCACGCCAAGAATCAAGCACACATGATGCTTTTAGTTAGTTTTTGAATAATGTTGTAATCAGCTTGTGTGACAAATTATTATTTAATATGAATTTAATTTCTTTTAGATGTTATTTAACTTGAATTTACATATCATTGTGTTATTTTATATATTTTAAAAAGGGTTTTTCAGAATAAAATAACTTTTGATATCAGTTAGTATGTAATATTCTTACAAATTAAAATTTTAAGAAATTTTAATCACTTTTAACTTATAAATTAATGTAAAACAGATTTTTAATATCTTTTCTATTGTAAGATATTTTTTTAGCTAAATAGGTAAAATATTCAACATTTATAATCCTAAGAAATAGGAGCAGAATTAAAAAATTTAACCTTCATTCAATGTTTCAAAGTTAGATAAGATAACTTCTGATACAAGAGAGATAAATAAAAATAATCCAATCTTAATATCTTTGTCTATCATATTTTGTATTGTTTGATTTTGTGCGCAAATCAATATAAACTCAATAATTGATTTTCTTTATTTTTCTTATTTTTATTAGGCGCAACATGTGACTTCGCTAGTTGAGCGTTTAAATAGTAATTTAAAGAAGATAGATTGATAATTGACCAAACAATCAGTGCACTTGTGAATTTACTTACTGATCAAACGAATCACATCTTGTGCATATATATATATATATATATAATTACTATTTATATGCATGCAATTTTAATCGTCTAGGTATACCTTGTCTCACCTTAGTGTTTGCACTCCTAGATTTTGGTCATGGATAGATGGGCCATTAGATTTTTTAGTCTTTATGCTCGACACATAATATTGTAGAAGTAAAGAAAGATCCTTTTGTCAGTACAAGGCAAGAATCAAACACGCGAGATCAACAATTGATGACTCTAGTTTCTCAAAAATGCTATCCCACTCACTTATATCCATATTATTGTTTATTGATTAATTCTATTATTTTTCATGCATCTATTCTCTATTTCTGTCACATATAGAGATGTTAAAAAGCCTATTTAACCCAACGTTAACCCTATCTCATGTGAATTAGGGCCAAAAAGCCTTGCAGACTTAAAAAGTTCATCAATTTATAAGTACATAAGGTCAAAAAGCTCACAAGATCAAGGTTAGGGTCAAAGTTTTGTAAGAAAAAAATTTATATGTTTTTAAAAAATTAAGTGTGAAGAAATTTGATATAAATTACGATAGTTATTAGAATATTTAGTAAAAATATTTATTTCACATAATATTTTTTATAATAAATTTGTAATCTAATAAAATTACTTAAAAAGAGAAAGAAAAATAAAATTTATATAATATTAAATATTTATAATGATGGTTGTTATTAAATAAAATTAATAAAAATAATGATTATTATATAATTGTAACAATTTTTTATATAATTTTATAAATAAATTTTTTCATATTATAAAATTTTATATTATTATTTTTTTTGATTTATTTTCATAAAATTATTATATTTTTTTAGGATCATATTTTATTTATGTAAAAAAATCTTATATTTAATAAATAAAGTCACCGTAAACATATAATATTGAAAATAAAAAATAACACTAATAAAATTTATTAAATCTAGTGAATAAAAGTTAATATGTTAAAAAAAGTAAATAAATATTTTGATTGTAGAAATTGAAGACATAGAATATTTTATATTATAAAATTTATAGACGCAAAAAAGTAATATATGAACATAGTAAAAATTAATGAATGTTTGCAAATTTAAATTTTGACTCATCTTATTTAATAAAATTTATATTTAAATTAAAATAACTTGTGTTTCTAAATTTTTATTTTAATAAGAAATTTGTGATAAAAATTAATATAAAATTTTAAACTAAATGCAATATATATATATATATATATGTATATATATAATATTTAATTTTATTTTATATATTAATTTATTATTTTAAACTAATAAATATACATAAAATTAACTATACTATAACATTAATGTAATATAAAAAAATAATATGTATACGATAAATTAAAATACATACTTATATATTACATATAAATTAATAAATTAACTAATAATTTAATTTTTATTTAAAATGTTAATTTATGTAAATATTTACTGATTATTGAATTTCAAGTGTATATTAACGACTATATTTTTTTAATAATAAAAATTTATCTATATCTATATATTTATATAAAATTTATTAAAATTAATTATTTAAGATTTTATAATTATTAAATTAATTATTTAAGATTCTACATATTTATATTTATATTAAAAATAATCATACCATATATTAACCTAAACTATAATGAATCTATAATTATTAAAAGTGATTAAAGAATATTTAAACATACTAGAACTAATTAAATTTATAAAATATTATTTTATCATTTAATTATTATTTAGTTAAAAATATTTAATATTTATTTTTAATTAAAATTATAAATTATTTTATAATATTAAACAAATGCAAAAGTTAAATTTAATTTAATTTTATAATATAATTATATTTGATATTATTTTTATAATAAATTTTTAATATATTGAATAAATATTTTTTTACTTTTAAAATTTTTTTATATTTTAAATATAATTTTTAATTCATTTAAATAAAATAGTTTAATAAATATTATAAAAAAAGATATAATATTATTATTTATTTTGTAAAATAAGTGAGCTAGCTCACCTCTAACTCTAATCCTAATTCACTATTTTCTTTATTTTGAAGCTTAGGACTAATGTAAATCCATTAACTATAAGATTTTTAAAAAACATGGCTATATAGAGAGCTAATAGGGTACAGCTTAGGGCTTTGGCCTATTTTGACAGCCCTAGCCATATAATTCCCTAAATGCAAGGGGTGTAAGGCATATGACATGCAACTAGGGATGAAAATAGGTTAAAAATTACACTTTTTAAATAATAAATTTATTTAATAATAAATTATTATATTTGTTACATTTAAAAGTTATAAAGTAGTTAAGTCTTTGAACAGGAATAAGACGCAATCAAAACTAAACGAAATAAAATTTAACAATGAAATAATAATATTATATTAATATATTATGTTTAATTATTTTTCTTTATAATAAATAAAAATTATTTAAATATGAATTATATTTTATTCAAAACTAAAATTTTATAAAAAATGATAGAAAAATAAATAAAAAGTTTAATATACAATGGTGTCTTCAGGCATATTTTGATTAGTAAAATATCCCATAGCGACAACCGACATATTTTGAAGTTTGGCAATAATATTATATTCAGATAATCCATCGATATTCCAAATATAAATATCATTAGAATTGAAACTTTGAATAAAATCTTGTTTTTCTTCTAAAATAAGGTCAGGAGCAGTAGCTTTATTATAATAAAGCTTGGATGAATTTTTCCAATTGTTGATTGGATTGATGGCTAAAACAGAGTCTGTTTCAGAACAATGTTCTGAATCAGTCTTGGAAATAACATTAACAGTTTTGGCTCTGATACCAGATAACCCGAAGTGGATCAAAGGAACGAAAAATATACAGATTAAAAGACTGAAAGGAAAGTAGGCAGTAGCAGGACTACTAAATGATATGCAGAAATTAAAAGTGCAGTATGTAAAACAGTTAACACATAAAGAAACTAGAACGGTGGTATAACCAACACAGATCTAGAGAAGGGAGAAGAGAAGAAAGCCGGAGCGACGGTAGTCCGAACAGGACCGGCTAAGAGGGAGAAGAGAAGAAAATAATTTGAAACAGCAAATTTTATTGAAATATCTCAAAGAAGAAGAAGGCTTACAAGAATTTTTTTCTCAGAGCTTCTCTCTCTTAAATCTCTCTTATGTTGCTAAATGAAAGGGTACCTCACAATATAGTCGAGGCCTCCTTATAAAGAAATTTTTAAAGTACTATTTCTACAGTTCCGGTTGGTGACTGGAACTATTAACTATAGTACCGGTTTCTAAAGATCTTGGATGTCAATTCCGAAACAATCATCTTCATTTTGATTTTCTTCAATATTGGCATCTTGGTTAGAAGATTCTCCTTCTTCTTGGTTTTGCAATAACAGGAGAACATCTTGAAGATTTTTCTTCATTTTTTCTTTGGTATCGCATCCTGATAAGAATGCCGCAATTTTGGATTTCTGATTAAGGAATTGAAATGTCGCTGGGTCAGCTAGATTTAATAATTTGGGATTTTTCCCAAAATATTCAGCAACTCCTTCTGGTCCGGCATGTTTCGCATTGAATTGATTCCACCATTTTACAAAGGAATACCTGTGCAACAAAGGGAGAGTGTCTTCATTTTCTGTCTTGCCATATCTGTATTGCCATGAGAATACCCATGCTAGGGCAAAGTCAGAGAAGTATTTAAGATCTGCTGGAATTCTTGATTATCGCAGATATCTGCCTTTGTAAATTTTGTATCCTTCTTTGACAGGTGTGGGAAGGATTTCTTCAATTGGCCCAAAATAATCCCACCATTGGAGGAACCAATTTGGAAAGTCATAATTCTGATTCTTTTTAAAATATATTAACCAAGAATGTCGGTTAAGTTTATTTTGGAACCAGAAAGTTCTTGTCCATGCATCAATGTAATCCCAATAATTATAACCTACTGGATCAAATGGTTGGGAAAACTTTTTATAAGAATTCAGATTTTTTCCAAAAGCCTTTGGAGTTAAGACTTTCAGGATCTGGATTGTCGAATGAGTTGTAATTGAAGAATCTTTATTTGGTATCAGAGCCTGATGGGGAAGTAGGAATATAACTGTTAATTGTCTGTAACTATGTTCTTCTGGATCTGGACTTTAAATTCCTTTATGAAATTTCTGTAACCATGGTTTATCGGCTGGACAGCTGACAGGCCCTTCGGGTGAGACCAGTAATGGT